CCTACGATCTGATGTTTACAGACGTTTACTGCTAATTAAGAAAATCATTAAAACAGCTGTCAAAGATAGCCTCCCGGGCTTAAGGTGGCTCGTACCAGTTTCCTCGCGCGGGGAACAGGTCACTCTTGCGTGACGCGCGCGAGAGAAACGTGCGAAAGAAGCGCGAGATCAAAAGATGAAAATTCAAAACAAAGATGGCGGCGCGTGGAATTTTTTCTACTTTTGTGAGAAGTTTACCTAAGAGCTTGTATTTGATGTGTTGAGCGGCCACTGTGAATGCAGGAGATAGAAACTAAGATAACGAAGACGATTTTCGGAGAAGTAAAGGTTGCTTCACTTCACATTTAAAAGAAATATTCAACCGATATGAAATCTTGCGACGGCGAAAAAAGAAGAACTCAAGTGAAGGATAATCTACCTGAAGTGGAAGAAGACTTTGAAACTTCAAGGAAAATAATATGATATAGCCAGAAGTCATGTGTAGGATTTTTAAGATGAGCTCGGGAGGCTGTCTTTGACGGCTGTTTAATGATTTTCTTAGCAGTAAACGTCTGTAAACATCAGATCGTAGGTGCTCGCGCGAGCACACGCAATTGTCAGCGGTAGCTAAAACAGATCATGAGCAAATGTCGATCTTATAGAATCCAGATTTTTAAATGCGCGAGAACGCGCGTGGAAATTGCTAAACTCACGAAAGCTATTGCATGAAAACAAGTCCGGTGACCCCTTCTTTTTATTGTTCCAATATGATAATAACGTCGAAAGGAATCATCAGAAAAAAAACTAGAAAATTCTACGGAAGGAAATTTGCGATGTGTGAAAATTGCCCTTTTTGTAGATTTTCTGAAATTCCGCTCCGTAGAATTTTTTAAAAATCTTTGTGCATTTTCCTTTTCAAGTGCCAAAAGCAATCACTGAAAAAAATCAGGGGGTCACCGGGTTAGTTTTCGAATTATTTAAGCCACAAGCTAAAAAATGCGTCTGAATAAGCCTATGAAAGCGTTGCCATGGAAACTGCTAGTGACGAAATGACACTTATTTTTGGATAACCAATGATTATGTAATTCAACCCCGTAAAAGTGTTCAACTGGCCTTGGTCAGTCTTTCTGTTGTATTCTTTCAAAGTTACAAACCATCAAAAAGATGAAAACCGGTACGAGCCACCTTAAGTGACGTTTGCGTCAAGCCGTGTTGAAGAACAAGAAAAAATCAACAAAAGCAAGTTACTTACATAGTGTACGCTAAACATTGCATAACATTGAGAATATGGCCTAGACCTAGCTTAGTCTAACTTAGAATGTACTCAACTGTTCACAAAATAGTGTTTCCCTACAGTTTAATGCTGCATACCGAGATGATGAGGACGTAAATCGCGCCGTTATTTGTGTGATTTTCCACGTTGTTTAAGCTTGATCTGGAGGGCGCTCTTATATGAGTCAACGGCTGAAACGAAGTCCCCTTTGGCATTCTGTGTGTCCCCAAGAGAGTTGTAATTATCAGCTGTTCTCGAGTGGTCTTTTCCGATCAGTTTGTGTCCACTGGCAAGAGCTTGTCGGAAGGACTGAGCGGCAGAACTGAAGTCGCCAAGGTGACAATGTATGGCACCTAATGTTTCGTAAATTTCGATTGTGTCTTGGTTATCTTCTCCAAATAACTTATGGCTGATATCAAGTGCCTTCTGGGAGAAATGAAGAGCAGAATTGTAGTTCCCTCCAGCGTATTCTGTGACACTAAGAGTATAATAACTTTCAGCTGTATCTGGATGTTCCTCTCCATACAATTTTTCACGGGTGGATAGCGCATGCTGAAAGAAATCACGAGCTGACGTGACGTTATTTAGAGCATAAAACGTTTCTCCAAGGGAGTAGTAGCTGTCAGCTGTGCTCGAATGTTCTTCTCCAAATACCTTTAGACGGATGTCTAGTGCACACTGAAAGGACTGTAGGGCTGATATCAAGTCATTCAAAGCAAAATATGTGTCACCTATGGAATGATAACTTCTGGCAATGCTAGGATGTTCTCTTCCAACCATCTTAAGACGGATGTCACGCTCACATTGAAAGGAAAGAAGGGCGGACTCCAATTTATTTAGCGCCAAATATGTTTCTCCCATCGAGTGATGACTATCAGCAGTGCGTAGATGTTCTTCACCAAATACCTTTACACGGATGTTTAGAGCAAGCTGATAAAACTTTAGGGCAGATTCCCTCTCGTTTAATGAAAGCTTGGTATCTCCGAGGGATTGGTAACTCTGCGCCGTGCTTTGATGTTCTTCTCCAAGAACCTTCTGCCAGATGTTCAGAGCACACTGATGAGATTGAAGGGCTGACGTAAGGTCCCCCAATGAGCTCTGTACTTCTCCTACAGACTGGTAACTCTCAGCTATTTTTGTGTGCACCTCTCCAAGCATATTCCGTCTAATATCGAGGGCACGATGATATAAAAGAAGGGCTGAAGAAAATTCCCCCACTGAGTGAGCCACATTTCCGAGGGAGTGGTAACTCTCAGCTGTGCTAACGTGTACCTCTCCAAATATACTTAATCTAATGTCCAAACCACGCTGAAACGACTCACGAGCCGAAATGAAGTCACCCATGGCAAGTTGAGTGGCTCCCAGATAATGGTAAGTGCTAGCTGTGTTTGGATGTTTTTCTTGAAGACTCAGTCTAATGTCAAGCGCTGACTGAAAAGACTGAAAAGCAGAGGGGAGGTCGCCCAATGCAAGTTGTGTGACCCCTAATGAGTGATAACAGTCAGCTGTTCCAGGGTGTATTTTGCCAAAATATTGAAGTCTAATTGTAAGAGCACCCATGAAAGACTCTAGAGATGAAGTAAAGTTACCACTGGCGTACTGCTGAACCCCAAGTGAGTAATAACTTTCAGCTGTGCTTGCGTCATTTGGACCTAGAAGTTTCATCCTGACAGCGAGCTCGCGTTGTTCAGCCTGAACTGCGTCTAGGAGACATTGTGCGCCGTGCTGTGTGTTAGCTGTGAGTGGGGCAGAAGTTTCAGAACTCAAATCGGAATTTCTAACTCTCTTCTGGAGAAAAGATTTGCGGAGTTCTTGGAATCGGCGTTCTTTCTCTGGGTCCTTCCCGTCATCATTAGTTAACATACGAAGATTGGTATGAAAATGCGAGAAACCAAGTACAGTTGGTGGACTAGATGCTTCATTGTTTCGGAGTACATTCGTTGCAATGTCGCTCATTTTTCGTTTTATCTCAATATTAGTGAACCTCTCAGCTGCTTTACTAACAAGAAAGAGAACTTCTGCCATTAAGGGTTGATTATTCAGGGCACCACGTTTATCCTTCACCATTTCCATTGCGCTATTTCCTGCGCTTTCCAATGTGGCGGTCAGGAGTAAGTCTGTGTTTCCCGCCTCTGTGTACTCTTGAAGTATCTTTTTGTAACATTGCGCCTCACTTGAAGATTTCATGTGGAAGCTATCATACAAGTAAAGGACTTGAGAAATAATAAGCCTAAGAACTGTTTCCTCGAGGTTCACCTCCATCTTGGGAAGGGACGTCTGTAAACAGTGCAGTCCTTCTTCTGTCTCACCGGTAAAAAGGTGGTAGATACCTAAATAGCACAAGAGTTTCCCTTTCTCTCGAGCAGACGTCGAGAGAGCCGCTGTTTGCAAGTGTTTTGCTTCATAAAGCAACTGCCTACCTCTTTGCGTGCCCCGTGTTATTTCACTGAAAGCCGAGGAAACGAGCAATTCCCGGTGAAACTCTTTCTCGCCAAGGGTTTCAGCTGCCTTCACAGCAGAATCGTAAATAGAAACGAATCTGTCTTCGTCAGTCCAAAAGAGTGAGTGTAGAAACAACTCCGCATGGACAAGTACCTTAAACACAACCTCAGCTGTTTTGGAATCTGATCCAGGGCGCAGTTTTAGAGATTGAATTATATTCTCCTCATCTTCGTAGAATGTAACAGACGCCATCACGGAATCCCCTTTAAGGAATTTCTCATTCAGCCACGCGAATTGAGAGATGTAAAACTCACGGAATCGAGTCTCTGAGGCGATTAGCGTTCCCTTTAGTTCCGTTTCTCCTATTTCTTGGGCCAGTGACCGAATTAGTGGGTGCATCGAGAAGGATCCAAGTTTGGAATCAGATTCGAGAAGAGATTTATTTTGTAGATTACGTAGTATCCTCTTAGCCTCGGGGATTCTTGTTATTCCCATAACAGCTGCAGCGGCTTTTACATAAAAGTCGTTTGGAAAAACACTCAAGGAGACCAAAGTGCCCTTTTCCTTTGCAGAGAGTCCTCGGAACGCGTCATTACAAAGAAAACTTAATGAAAAATCGCTGCCCAGCAATCGACCGAGTGGACGCTCCCCGAGGAGATCTAGGTAGCTATTTATTGAACCATTTCCCTCAGAAATTAAATTACAGATAGTCCTCAGGAGTAAAGGTACATTCGTACAGATTTGCAAGAGCTGAGTGCAGTCAGAGGCAGTCGCGTCTGGTAGTAATTTAGAAACCAACTCTTGAGCTGACGACTCATCTAAAGGTCCGATTCGAACTGCTTCGTGACTCTGAAACTGCAATGACTTGAATGATTTCCTAGCGGTTATGATGAGTTTAAGCTGCTTGGCTCGGCTAAGGACATCTTGAAGAAAATATAAGAAATCCGCAGTGTCTAACAACGTATCAGCATCATCTAAAATAAGCACAATGCGTTCCGAAATTAAACTGAGGCGCTGTAAAATTTGGTCGTGATTCGATACAAACGGAGGAGTTTGGCAAATGGGAACAGTATCTTCAAAAAGGATGAGAAGCTCTGCCGTTAGATCGGATATTGACTGAAGTCGTCGTAAAGAGAAGAAGTATACTGGTAATCCCAGGGATTCTAGTTTATGTGCCACGGCATTAGCCACCGACGTTTTTCCAAATCCAGGTGGGCCAAAAATCGACACTAGTCGAGTATTTTCACGAGCAGAGCACTCAATGATCTCTTCACACTCTCTTGCACGGCCAACGAAGTTTGTATCTCTAGGAGGTAGACGTGAGCCTGGCAGAGTACCTGCTGGAGACAAAAAAAAATGTAAATCACCACCCAATTAAGGATTGTTAATTAAATCCATGCAACATACCACCAAACGAGGTTTCAGCCAAATAATAGAGGTTTTTGTGAAAGTGGAAGGGCGAAGCCTATAGATCACCTCTTTTTCAATCAAGCTACGATTATTTCAACTTTCTGAGAGAGAAATTCACTTTATTGTAAGTCACCTTGAAAGTGAGGCCAGCTTTCAAAAACCACCCTATCCTTCAAAACATGGGCAACAACAGAAGCTGCCATAACGCTGGCAAAGTTCTTCCAGCTCTCAGACTCTTTACCGGCACCTCCATAGTGTGAAATCCCCTTTACAGCAATGCATTCAACTTTTAGGTCAGTAATGGCTGTTGCTAAGGCATCTAAAATTAAAAGATGAACACTGCTTTGTAAGTTTTACTTCAAGGTCGATTTGAATAAATGTGCACGAGTAAATCTTGAAAGACCAACACAATTTCACGAGCCCTTTAGTCGAGTGCATATTTCGCGTTCGTTAGAAACAATTGTGCTTAATCAAAAAAAGTATCTGGGATGTTTTTTTCCAAGATTATTAGTCGCAGAAATAATGAAAGCAAGATAAATGGTGGTTACCTTTTTCGCTTAGAATTAGAATTAGGTTTCTCAAACTGAATTCCCTCTCTCAGACATAGTGTTATCGGAAAACTGTATTTCTCTTAGCCAATCAGAATTCAGAAATTTTCTCATCATGTTATTAGCATTCCAACATTTTTTTTTATCAAGAACGCATCTTGGCCGCAAAACGCGTTAAGGGTACTCTCTCTAATTTTGCAGAACAGAAGAGAAAAAAAGGATCCTCTGCAAACACTAAATTTCATTCCTACCTTGCACCTCAATGGCAGTCGCATCAGGATGGGCTTGAATCAGTTCTTCGCACATATTCCTGTCCTGGACGCTCAGCAAGACACCGTCGCGGTGAATCCTCACTACTCCGTCATCGGGATCATGTAAAGGTGCCATCCATCCATCACCAGCATGTCGTATGAGGAGCGAAGAAGTTTTGCTTTCGAGAGCTCTCATGCCCCTTTGGCTGTGTGTTGCTAGCTTTGATGTTATGAAAACATCTCCTAAGCGAGCTTTTGTGGAATTGAGACTACAGCAAACACCAACCAAAAATACTGCTTTCGGTCTCATTTTCATGATAGCATTTTTGGAGTAAATGGCACTGTCAACAGGCATTGTTTCCCCTCCGCACTTAACCAAAGCCACCGTAAGTTGACCGATTTTTCCAAAATACACATGTCCTAGATCCTCATGATAGCTTTGAAAAGGATTTTGAAGGTAAACAAAGGCACTCAGAAACTCGCACTCTTCGACAGTTGATAGGAGAATATCTATGGGAAGTTGGACATCACTCCACCTCTTCATGAACACTTTAATATCACACATCTTCGGAACGGTGAGGCTCATTTTTGGTGGATTATCGATGCGGTTATCAGCTGTAATGAGACAAAACCACCTCTTAAATTTATTACATTTCAGACTTTATCTTGGCTACAGCTAAATTTTATTTCTTTTTTCCACTGTTGCTGTTGATCGAATCTTTGCAGATTCATTTACGGTTTGGGTTTCAGTGTTCGTTTGCCGAGAGACCGAAAAAAAAAGAACTATTTCGGATTTAAATGTTGGAAGTCTTTATCTTTAGTATTTGCACTACTGTGTGACCCGTCTCTCCCGTATAACAGGCTTCGATTGACATTGGGAAAATATTTCCATCATTCCCTGAACTGAGAAATATTCGAGGAATGATAGCAGATGTAACGAATAAATTTCTTTGTGAAGTTCTCCTGTTACAGGTGACATGCAAAAAAATGAGAACAAATTTCCACTTCCGTTAAAGACTTTGTTTAGCCTATACATATGCCACCAAATGCTTTATATTCATTTAATTACAGACAATTCTTTGTTTTTTACCAACGAAAAGAAAAAAGGAAAGGCAAAAACAGGTACCAGCTTTACCTGACTGAGCTTGTTCTTTCTCCAAATCGTCAATCGTCTGCCCCAACATGGCAATGATCTCTTCACTTTCGGTGCCTCCCACAGTTTCCTTGACCGCTTGGAACAACTTTCTAATAGCTTCAAGACTTGAACTGAAGCCATCTAGAAACTTGACATCAGCACGAATCGCCTGTTTGATACCATCCTCTACTTTGCAATGCTCTAGAGAGGACGGGTCTAACGCTTGCAAAGCGATGGCATCAATTTGGTCTGTCTCAAATCCAAGAGCCATGAAAGCTCCTTTAGCTAGCTGCACGGAATAGTCAAATGTTACTTTATCAATTTCAGCCCTAACTGAGTGGCAGAGCTGATTTTTCAGCCTTCGAAGCTGATCAATAGCGAGTGCTAAGGATTCTAAACCACATCCAACCGGACTCGCCAGTAATGAATGGAAAGAACCATGCGGAAGTTTACGAGGTTTCACGTACAGCTCAGCGAGTGTCCTGTGATGACCTCTACTATCTGGCAAGGCGAAGGATCGTGCGAAGATGGTCGCCTGAAACAGGGCGACAAGATCCCATTCTTCATAGGAGAGGTGTACGGGAACCTTGGTTTTGCCACCCTCTACAGCAAGAAACAAATTTCTCACTGTCGCGGAGTCATCCCACAGTTGAAAACCAGGAAGATATCCAAAAGTGTTGTCCCAGGTGGTTCGAAACGCTTGACGTATAGCTTTAGGGAATTCGTTAAGTACAATGAATGCAAACTTCAGGTAGTTCAGCTGTTCGTCACTGTACCCTTGCCGGGGTTGTTCTTCATTTACTTGTTGAAATGAAAAAGTAGGCTTAAAATCGTCACCATGACCTCTACGACTATTTGTGCCTTTTTCAGTTTCGACGATCTCGCTAGAGGCGTCTGTAAAAAAAATAAAGAAAAAAGAACGAATTTCCACCTCCGTTAAAGACTGTTTAGCCTATACATATGCCATCGAATGCTTTATATACCTGCAATTACAGACAATTCTTTGTATTTTTACAGACGAAAAAGGGAAAAGGAGAGACAAAAACAGGTAGCAGATTTACCTGACTGATCTTGTTCTTTCTCCAAATCGTCAATCTTTTGCCCCAACATGGCAATGATCTCTTCACTTTCGGTACCTCTCATATTTTCCTTGACCTCATGCAACAAATTTCTCATAGCTTCAAGACTTGAACTGAGGCCTTCTAGAAACTTGACATCGGCACGAGTCTCCTGTCTCGAAAGCTTTAGAGTGGACGAGTTTAACGCGTTCAATGCGATAGCATCAATTTGGTCTGTCTCAAATCCAAGAGCGATGAAAGCTTCTTTAGTTAGCTGCACGGAACGGTCAAATGTTAGTTTATCAAGTTCAGCCCTACTTGAGTGGGCGAACTGAAATCTCAGCAATCGAAGCTGATCAATGGCGAGTGCTGAAGATTCTACAGCACATCCAGCCGGGCTCGTCACTGACGAATGGAGAGTACCAGGCACCACTCCACGAGGTCTCACGTACAGCTCATAGAGTGTCCTGGGATGACCCGCACTATCTGGCAAGGCGAAGGATCGAGCGAAGATGGTCGCATGAGTCAGGTGGAACAAACTCCATTTTTCATATGAGAGGTCTGTGGGAACCTTGGTTCTGCGACCCTCTGTAGTTAGAAACAAATTTCTCACTTCCGTGGAGTCATCCCACAGTTTAAAACCAGGAAGATGTCCAAAAGTGTTGTCCCACATGGTTCGAAACGTTGGACGCATAACTTTAGGAAATTCGTTGGTTACAATGAATGCAAACTTCAAGTAATTCAGCTGTTCGTCACTGAGGCTTAGCCATGGTTCTTTTTCACGTACTTGTTGAAATGAAACACTGGGCTTCAAATCATCAGCTTGACCTTCATGAATTTGTGAGCTTTTTTCAGTTTTGACGATCTCGCTACAGACGTCTACAAAAAACAACAAAAAAATTGAAAAAAATTCGTAAAAAAGAAAAGCAAATAAACGGCTACCGCCGATATAGCTAAATAACGTTGGCCTCTAAATTCCTATGCAGTTGAACACTGTTGCAATTTTCAATTGTAAAAAGACGAAACCATCCCTTCAACAATTGATCAGAAAAATAATTGCCCATTTTCCTTAGATCTCTTAATAGCAATTCGAAGCGAAATATGGAATCCGGTTGACGCTGGTGTTAAGCATTGTTTCGCACGATAGATATGCATCTCAAAAGAGAGCATTTGTACACCTTTCAGACATTATTCTACCTACACCAGAATTTTCATTTCTTTTTATCACTGATGCTTTTGACCAAGCAAACACTGAAACACTGGAAGACAAGTCAAGTTAGAAAGACAAAAAGAAATTACGCGGAGCATCTCCATTTTTGTTACGAGTTTCCTCCAATTCAATCAGATGTTAGCGAAACAGTTATCGAGATGCGCTTTGTGCCGTTTTCCGCGCAAAAACGAAGCAGTATACGAAAAATGGCTCTAGAAATCACTTTTTCATCTGGCCTGCTTCCCCTTTGGAATCGTGGCGAAGACAATTCCGTACGAGGAGGGACGAAGAAATTGTAGGACGAGCGCAAGGTCCCCTTGAACCCACCCATTTTACTTGATGGCAGTGATTACCACAAATGGTGTGCGGATATTCACTTACTCGGATTTTCTTGTGTTGCCTTAATTGCTGTAACGATTCCCTGCCAATCGATGTTGTTCAACTTCTCTTCATCTGTTCTCTCACTGTCTGAGTATCTGACAATTGACAAAAAAACACCATGATTTGGAACAATTCGGTTACTATACACGATTTTCGATCACCTCACATCACAGACACAGAAACTGTTCTCCTATGCCAAGAAATTTCAAGCTCAAACTGGTTTCAGGTTCTGTTAATCAAAATCTTTGCTGTCGATTTGCGAAAGTTTGAGGACTCTCGTCCCATCCGGCTCAAAACCTAAGAAGACCTGGAGCGATTTGCTCGGCAAGAGGACTTATCTATGAGCTAGGTAGTGTACTTATAAAAAATTCTCGTAATATTATTACCTATTCTTATCCCTGGCCTTAGGAGCTAAAATTGATGAGCGAGGAAACATCTCTCTAATCTATTCTTCCTTTTAATCACTTAGACGCAAATTCTTTCAAGAAATGTCTCATAGCATTTTAAATTATAACAGTGATTGCATTGAATCGCTCTTCTATAATCCTTTATAGTTCACCACTAAATTTTCTCCGATTATTATTGGTTTAAATCGATCACGTGACGCGATAGTGTTCATCCGTGGAGAGACACTATCAGCCCATAGTGCCCGTCCGCGGAAAATACCAGGATGGATAGTACTCAACCGTGAA